TAGCGGCTCGGATTGAGGAATCAAAGAGCCCAGTTCGGAATCATTGCATTCACTTTTTCCTGGAAAGTTATGAATCCATCTATAGGCAATTAGCAGGACAGACTGGGACCGATAGCCTTGGTTGGTAACCATAAAAAGGAAAACCCTAAATTCAAATCCCCTGCTGCGTTATATGTTTTGCCTCTTTAGGCAAAGGTTAGAAGGGAACATAAAAAAAATTCCACCTTGCATTGAAGATCGAAGATAGGAACCGGACCCCTACGTCGATGGAAAATAATGGACTCCGGGGTTAGTAGAATGGATTGAACAAACAAGAATGGCACACGGCAAGGCGCTATGGACCTCTCTAATATTGGACAATTCGCCCATGTGTATATCATCTACGGCACATTAGAACAGTGGTTTCCAACATTTTAACCCACGGCCAACTTTGAACCCAGATTTTTTCTGTGACCCATGAAATTATTATAGCGCGAAAAAGTTCTTCCATTTTACATATCCAATTATAAAATTTCTGTGGCATATCTTTCCTCTCTGATAAATTTATTATTATTATTATAAATTTTCCATGGTGCATTTTCACCATAGGTTGGGAAACTCTGCTTTAAACAACGATACTGTATTCTACTGTAAAAAAATCACTAGCAACGACACATTAATGCCTTAAGTAAAGAGTTCAACTAAAAAGAATATGTAAGCTGATCTAGAATAGCCAACAACACGTCAGAACTCTGATGACTCGACAAGAGTGGAATTGGTTTGAACCCAGTAGCCGTGGAATTCTAATACTATTGTGTTGTTTTCGTTTAAGATTTGATATAAGAACAAAAAATCGAGAAGACACACAGACGTTTGAAAGACTATAAAAGCTCGTGTATAATCTTCCACGTACTCCTTTCACCCCCTTTTTTTTCGAGAATGCGTTAGGTGGGATACGTCTGGTAGAATTCGTCAAGTAGAATACGTTATGTATAATGCGTTAGGTAGAATACATTAGCTAGAATACGTTAGGTAGAATGTGTTTGGTAGAATACGTTTGGTAGAATTCGTCAAGTAGAATACGTTAGGTAGAATATGTTAGGTAGCATTCGTTATGCAGAATGCGTTTGACAAAATACGTTAGGTAGGAAACTTGTGCAGTCTTTCTTTCTAGGAGGGACTTTGCCAGTTTGTCACGTGATACATTATTGTGAGACCGTAACATACCTACAACATGGACTCTTCCAGGAATATATAAAGTATGCGACATAACACTCTAGAGAGAGAAGAAGAAGAGGAGGAGGAGAGAGAGTATTCTAATACCGTAGTATCAGCCGCGTACGACTACCAATATTGGACACTAGCACATAGTAAGCTCCGCTTACACTTACACTATCTTTGTAACCTTTTTTGTTTAATATATCTTTCTTACCTCTAATCCGTGTTCCGTGTTTTCCTTCCGTGGTCCCAACTTTGGGCCCACATCATACATCTTCTGCACGCACACACCAAAATACATATACACACTACAGGTAAGCTTCTGAATGTCTAACCTTTCCTTTTCAAACCCTATTATAATTTTCTATATTTTGTTAGTCATTTATTAGTTATATGAAAATACATGAGAATATCAACATAATGAAATTTATTCCTTTTTTTTACTTTTCCTCTGCAAATGATGACAAATCGTCATTTGCATGTGAAAATTTGGATGGCCACAGTTTTTAATTGAGCCAGAAATATTGACCACAACAGCTTCTTGATTGTAGCTTCAGAAGCCAATGCAAGCCTTCCGTAGAGTGATAGCTAAAAACTTAACCTTACAGCTAGTTTTTAGTAATTTTTATGTGCCAACCTAAGCCTATGATTATATTGGCACAGGCTGTAGGGTAATGGTTAACAAGTTCATTTCACAGCCCATAAATCGGTGTCAGCTGCGTAGCAATGTTCTCAATATTAGAAAAGCGACTCCTCGGATTCCACCCCAAGTTGGTTATGTACACTTACTACTAATTCGTTTGATATCGCTAGATATCTTAACAAAACGTCCCATGACTGACGTGTCGTGATGATAAAAAAAGTAAAATGGAATACGATGGATTTGTTTCATATTATGGCCAGAAATAATGCGAAATGAAAGTAATTTTGGTTTAATCTTGTTCACTTCCCATCAAATTAATAGCTTCTGTTTCAACGAGATGTAGACATTTTTATTTTTATTTTTAATAATGTTTAAATATCGCTTGACGATAGGTGTCAGAAAATAGCGTTGGTTGATGAATGGACAAGTGAAAATTCATAATTTTGACATAAACTTTAGGTCAAAATTATGCATTTTCACTTTACTTTTCTTAAAATGCAGTGAAAAACAACTTTTTGCGATGGGTCTCATTTACTTATGCAGCCGTTGAAGTAGCAAGTAGCTTGTGGAGTTGTTGACAGAAAAAAATAGTAAGTAACGAGATATTACGGTAGCCTGTATAGAACCAAATATTCCCGACTGCATGCCTTGGATCCAAGTCACTCATCGACACTGGTGTGTGTGTGTGTGTGTCACAGATGCCGGCTTTGATTATTACACTACTTCCGTGTCCGCTTCAGCATGATGTCTCCAGTTCGATGATCACACCGTTGGCTGCTTCCCTTGCTGACGACCATACATATTTCATCTTATAGTTTATGGTTATTCCTTTTCGCCTCGCTTTCCTTTGCTATCTTCTCTAGTTTTTCAAAGTTTTGCTTCCGAGTCTACCATAGACACGGTGTCATCAAACCACTTAGAATGTTTCCTTCCCTTGACCACAGGTGACACGTACCATCCAGTGACATGTTAATGCTGGGCATGTTTAAGATTTTGGGTGTGGCCGTGTCGCTGTGACTGATGCCCAGCTGTTTTTATTTCATCGGAAATTGTAGTGTTAACAGTCTAAATACGTCAGGGAAATGCGAATGCCAAAAATTTGGTGTTTATATTAAAGAATGCAAGGAATAAACAAAAATAGTAGACCCTATTGCACTGGTATGAACTTTGACAACGCGAACTGAGTCGGGGTGAGACTTGTATGCTTGGAATCGTGACAGTAATGGATTGTCTTGATTGACGTTTGAATATAAGACCAAAAAAAAAAAAAAGGCAAAAAGGTTAGTCCAGCTGCAGCAGTAGAGAAGTCAAAACGCCTTCCTCATCCAGATTCATTTGCGTGTTGTGTTTCCAACACAGAGAGAGAGGGAGAGAGAGAGGGGAGAGAGAGAGAGGGAGAGAGAGGGAGCAGAGAGAGAGAGAGAGACGATCCTCCACCGGGAAAAGATAGGTTGCTAGTCGACCTGTTGACATCCCCTATCTATATCTCCCTCTACTCCGCGTTTCCTAAAAAAAAGGTGATGCCTACTACTATGCTCCCATTCGAAGAAACTTAAAGAAAATTACATGACGTTGATTTAGATTATGATGCAGCGTTGAGATCCCTACTGAGGAATTACCGTAGACTTTCTTCTTATATGCCTTTGGACGGAGACGATATTTGTTCTCCACAAATTCCTGTCCCTTGTAGCGCTTAATAAATTTTGTCTTGTCTTTCTCCTAAGCCTTGTTTCACCATCCATTTACTCAAGCTCACTAAGTATGTTTTACTTTGTTTTTCTCTGTCCCTCTTGCCTTTGATCTGTCTTGTGAGTATCAAATTTTCCAAGTCGACCTTCCTCATTATGTCCCCAAAACCTCAGCTCTCTCTTCCTGATGTTAAGTATATGTTTCCTTTTTGTCTCTATTTTCTACAAAACTTTGTTATTTTTCACATGTTCGATCTATGGCATCCTCAAAATCCTTCTGTAGAAACACATTTCTGTTGCTTCAAGTCTCTTCTTCATCTCAGAGAAGATCGTCCAGCACTCACTTCCATACAGGAGGACAGATATCACGTAAAAACTTAGTATTCTTTTCCTTGTTTGCAGTGAAGTGTGTCTATTTCTTAGTACTTTGCTTAGTTTTTTGAAGGCATCTTTGGTCATCCCAATACACCTTTGTATTTCAGTGTCGCACTTTTCGTCCTTTGTTAAAACTCTTCCCCGATATTTAAATTTTTGCAATTGTTTGATTCTGGTATCTTCGATTTGAAATTCGCACTTTGGGTTCATTCTTATGCTAACAACCCTGCATTCTGTCTTCTTGAGTTGATGTTTAATCGTTTTCGTTTTATTTCACTCCACTAGAATCTAAAAATGACATGCAACACAGCACATGTCACATAATATTACATCCAGTTGTCTCCTTTTTATAACCCGCAAAATGAGTGTTCCAATATATTGGATTGGTGCATAATTATCAGGCGTTTTTAAACTATACTTATTATGAAAAAAAGAATCATAACAATTCAACAATAACATTTTTAAATGATTATTCCCGAGCGGATGATTATCAGCACGCATTTTTATAACCTGAAAATAAAATATTTTTATTAAAAAAAAGTAAACAAAACAGCGGTTTTGATTAAAAAATAAACTCACCAACAAAAACGCCTGATAATTATGCACCAACCCAATAATTATAAAATCCTGTCAAGTTACTTGTAGTCAGTATTATTACTACGCTGTAGGAGTCTCTAAAAGTCCTATTTTTTTAAGTACTTCACTATTCATTGAAGTTGTCTGAAACTGAACAAGGCACGAGTTATAGAAATTCTTCATGACATACTGGCCTTATTTGGTTAAACTGAAAACTTTCCAATCGATCCATATTTTCTGGAAATATTTTCTAAATGTCACAACCTATTTTTACAAATATCTTGCATTTTTTTTTCATCTTTGTAAATAGAGTAACAGGTCTTCCTGCTGTAAACACATTGTGATTGTTGTTATCGTGCAAAAAAGTTCTTGTTTTTGTTTGTTATTAATAAATATAGAAACGAAAGCAAATGTCCTTTTAGATATGTTTATATGTGTTTATTTAATTTTGATTTGATTTATTTTTACGTGAGAATGCTTCCATACCTCCTGTAGCGAAAAGACAATAAAGGAAGCGAAGATTAACTCGTACGAGAGGAAGAAAATTTAAAAATAAAGGAGGAAATTATGAATGAAGGGGAAAAGTGTTGGAGGGTGGAGAAAGGAAGAAAGATAGAATCACAAAGAAAACTAAAAAAAGGACAAAAAGGAAGATAAAGACAAGAAGAAAAAATCGGTAAGTAAACTGGAGAAAGAAAGAAAGAAAGAAAGAATAAAAAGAAAGAAAAAAGAAAGAAAGAAAGAAAGAAAAAAAGAAAGAAAGAAAGAAAGAAAGAAAGAAATAAAGAAAGAAAGAAAGAAAGAAAAAAAAAGAAAAGTAATCCAAGGAGGAAGGAGTAATAGGATAGACTGTTGAAAAAAAAGAAAGAAAGAAAGAAAGAAAGAAAGAAAGAAAGAAAGAAAGAAAGAAAGAAAGAAAAAAAGAAAGAAAGAAATTCACTTTCAATGCAGAAATGAAAGAGAAAGAATTTCCCTTTAAAGAAAAAATAAAGGAAGAAAGATAATTTAGGTTAATGAAAAAAAGAACAGCAGTTTCAATAAGAAATTAAGAAGAGAGGAAGACAGAAAGTAATCGGTATTGCAAGTTCAAGAAAGAAAGAAAGAAAGAAAGAAAGAAAGAAAGAAAGAAAGAAAGAAAGAAAGAAAATCAGGTTAGAGAAAGAGAAAATAGTTTCAATGTGAAAATGAAGGAGAAAGGAGAAAAGAAAAAATGAATTTCGATTTAATGACAAATAAAGAAAGAAAATCAAGTTAATGAAGGAAATAAAAAAATAAGTTTCAATGAAAAAAAAAAGAACGCTAGAAAGAAAGACATAAAGACAATCAGGTTAAAGAAGTGTGGAAGTGCAGAAGAAAGAAAGGAAGAAAGAAAGAATTTTGGTTTAAAGACAAAAGAATGAAAGAAAATCAGTTTAAATAAGGAAATGAACAAGAAAGAAAAAAGATTCACAAAGAAAATAAAAAAATGACAAAAACAAAATATAGGAAGAAAGATCTGTAGTGCAAGATGGAGAAAAAAAGAAAATAACTTAGAAAGAAAGAAAAAAGAAAGAAAAAACAAAGAAAAAGAAAGAAATTCAGTTTCAATGTTTTCATTTTCCCTAAAACTTCGTCGTCACTTACATGTTCACTCTATGAAATTCTCAGCATCCTGCTGTAGAACGACATATCTGTTGCTTCAAGTCGTTTTTTCGTCTTTTCCAGCATTTACTGTTCTATAGGAGGGCGAATATACCACATAACAATTCAGTACTCTTTTATTTGCTTCTAACGATATTTTTTCGTCTCTTAAGGCTTTGCTTATTTTTTGGAAAGCATCTTTTGCTATCCCAATATACCTTCAGATTTCAGTGCCACACATTCTGTTCTCTGATAAAAACTTCCCAGATATTTAAATTTTTGTACTTGTTTGATTTTTGTCATCTCTAATTTGTAATTTGTATGTTGAGCTGTTACTTTTGTGAACAACCAGGCATTCTTTATTCTTGCAATTGATATTTAGTCCTTCTCGATTTCCTTCACTACCTTCTGTAGGAATTCTTGGAGTTTCCTTTCTGTGTTTGCTATCAACACTGTGTCATTTGCATATTTTATATTGTTAACATTGGGGCTGCTAATAATTCCTTTTGTTAGGACGTCTACTTTTCTCAAAATCGTAATATTTTTAAGCGAATTTCCACTCGTGATAGATTTCTCGAAATTTTCATATCTGCTCAGTTGCGGATCCAAATGTAAAAAAAAGCAATTTTCTAAAGAATTAATACATTTTTATTTATCAACCCGACAGATTTTATCAGTTTAAACGTTATTTTTAGTGGATACTAGTATTTGAGTAGACGTTCCGTTTATTATTAAACAGTATATTTATTAATTTTCGTCTACCGGCCTGAATATTCGAGAAATCTTCTTTACTACTTTAGAAAGTTACTAGCTTCTCTGTAGCTCAATTGGTCTATGTTGTAACCTAGAAAGGGTTACTGAATGAGGGATAACCAAAATGGAGGTTAGGAATGAAATGTTAATCTTTATAACATCAACAAAATACAATACTCGCTAATATGAAGTAGGTAAACCACTGTTTGTGACATAACAATAATCTATATAAATATATGGATACCTGACAATAGTCATTATATCGATGGCCCTGTACCAGACTAGACGCTGTGAAATCAATACAAAAGTCTGTTAAACATTCATGCACCTCACACCCTGTCCCCTAAAGTAACTGATTGCATATCGACTTTCAACCTGGAGTCAGGATCACCTGGTTTCCTCCTGCGTCCGATTTTTAATGATTCCTATCTACCTGTACAACAGCACCCTCTTGAAATTCCCTGCCGCCAAATCACGTAACTGATTCAAAGACTTGATCGCCTCGTGTTCGGTGCGGCCATTTACTGAAGGACCTTCTTAAAACTAACAACTGCACTCTAAATTGATAGCCCCTTCGTCTATCAGTAGAAGAAAAAAATAGCACAGCCATTATTACTTGATTTTACTTGTAATGTTAAGACTCATTAAAGTTATCTCCCTTTTGCAACCTCTTCCTTCATCTTCTTCTCGTCATTTCCTTTTCTACAGTCCTCCGCTCTTTGTAATGAGATATTCAATGCTTCTGTTTGCCGTTTTTAAATGGTGGCTTTCGGCCGTATTCTTACGCTGATAGGCGCGCTGAAACTGAAGTCTTCAAGCCAAACAAGTAAGAAAGAAGTAAAGCACATACACAACTTGAATACGGTAGAAATATATTCACTATTGAAAAGTAAATTGGAGCTTCCTATTATTTTTCCATTTTCTACCATCTGCTCTTCTTCAATCGCAATGAAATTGGTGAGGCCTTCAAGAGAAGCAACGCAAAACAAAAAAAATCTTTGCTTTAGTTATGGTTTTCTGACGCTGAATATAATAAACCACGGAGAAGTATTGACCAATATTAATTGTTTCCTCTGGAGCTATTTTAGTAACCCATGCATCTCCCATTGCGACAAATACAACATAAGACTGGCTTAATGTAGATATCCACACACACACATGTGCGTGAATAGTATTTGAAGTTTAATTCCTAAGTCTCACCAGTACTCAATATATTTAGCATCGCACTGATATTTGCAATTTTATAACTTTAAACGTTATTTTTAGTGGATGCCGGCCAAGAATTGCAGAGATGTGCAAGTTTTTCAAAAACGTATCCGGAAAATTCGCCGTAAACATTTTTGCCGTATGAAAACTCGCCTCGGGAATTTTCGCCGTAGGATACTTCGCCATATAAGATTTTTGCGTTTAGACAATTTTGCCGTATTTTTTTTTTTTTTTCTTTTTTCGAAAACTCTACTCCTTCTTTGAGTGTTCAAATTTGGTATTCAATTTGGGTATTTTAATTATATAACAAGGTGGTATTTTAAATTGTTTAAATGTATTTGTGTTTAAAGAATTGAATGTCAATGATACTTTGGATCAAAAGGTGATGTGTTATAATATATATTCAAAGTTAATAAAGTATATTTCAATATTTAGGTATTTATAGTGAATTTAAAACAGTTTGTTTGCAAATAATTTGTGTAAATTTCAAAAGACTTAGTGTGAGTTTGAAAAAGTTATCTTTCTTTGATCAGATATTTTATATTGGAGTTGGTTGCGTATTTAAGTTGTAAGTTTGAAATAACATATATTGCTTGAGTGAAAATTATTGGCAGACTGATATTATGTTAACAGAAAGTTTAACATTAAGTCTATAATATGACGTAGGCATGACGTAGGTTCTGGTGTCAAGTTGAAATTATTGCGCTCCTCACACTGATATTTGTAATTTTATAACTAACTAATTTTTGTAATGTTTGTAATTTTATAATGAGGATGAATTTTTGCAATTTTTTTATAACGAGGATGAATTTTTGTAATTTTTTTATAACGAGGATGAATGATGTAGGATTTTGATCCTATAACTTCCCTTATTAAAATGTTTAAATCGAAGTAACATTAGTTGTGAGCCAGATATACTTGGTAACAAGATACTTTGCATATTAAAAATAAAAAAAATTATCTTACGGTAAAAATCCTATACGGCAAAGTTTTTCTGAGGCAAGTTTTTCTACGGCAAAAGCGTTTACAGCGAATGTTCCTAGAATCCTTCAAAAAACATGTTCACAAGCTAAATAAATTCGATCACCATTCGTTGATTGTTTTTGTCAACGATCGGACCTAGACTATTGGTACCAGTGGTAAATATGTAATTATCCCATCCAGCAAGTAGTCTATTGTCTTTTCTCTGTGTGCTTTTTCATCTCAGGACGTAGGTGATCATGGTTTTCCACGGCTTGATGTGCTTTGCCACATTCAACATTATTTGATTCTTCTGAAACCAGATTTGCGTTCGGGGTACATGTTCGAACTTCAAAAATGGATTACTCCCTGCATTTCCCTGCTTCTATGGCATTCATTGAACGTTGTGTGTGTTAAATTCCCCAAGCTTTTCTCATAATGTGACCCCGACATATCAGTTACCCCGTTCAGATGATTTCTTTGCAGCTCCTTTCTTCTAAAACGCCACATTTGTCGCATGATCTGTTATTTAAAATCAGTATCACCCCATGCAAGGCATTAAAGCCACTAAGACACAAGGGATTACAGGGTGCGGAAGAATTAGGAACAGAAACATCAATAATGAATGGAAAGATGAAAGAGTAATCGGGGGGGAGTAGATAGCGATTGATATTGCATTTAAAGTTGGCCGAGAAGCATGGAGCCGGAATGGATTTCCACAAGCAATAAGTGCGAGAAAAGAAACTGTTAGCATTGAATTTACGATTACATCATATTGATAAGATCTCGACGCCAGATTAGTACTACGTTTAAATTATAAAGTCTATGTACCAATATCGAAAAGCTCATCCGGACAATTACCATTAAGGTATTTATAGAAATGACACAGAGAGACAACTTTACGTTGGTGGGAAAGCCGTGTCGCTAGATCAGGACCAACAATATTGCTGATTCTTCTTTGGATTTTATCAAATAACAGGGGCACCGGTCCATATGTGACAGCAATATTCTATCATGGACGAATGGTGGACTTATAGATATATCTATAAGTCTACTTATAAGATATGTCAATATGGCTTCATGTTTCCTCGGTAAATGCGCCCTGGAACTCTCGAAAATAGTAATAGAAATATTAGACATTTTCTTATATCAAAACCTTCGGCATTCATTGAGAAAGAAGACAGTACTACTCAAGTTACGCTTTTCTTCATCCACTTGACATCGGATGGAACCAAAATGTAGTATCTGTTCTCATCTCTAATGGTAATGAGAATATTAGACGTTGAGCAAACAGTGATACTCGAATTACACTTTTATTTACTCTCTGAACCATCACGCTAGGATCAAAGTGTAATATCTGTTCGTCTAATTTCTAATGCTGATGGTACTATTAGTCCTTTCTTTATAAGGAAACATTCGACATTCATTGATCGAGCGGCCAGTTTAACTGTCAGTTGAAATCTACAAAATCATGATACTAAAATAATTTTTCAGAAAAACTGATTTTCAAGTTCACTATTATGATTCATTCCTGTTTTGTTTTGGGTTTCCTTCTTTTGGGGTTTACTTGACGTATTGTGAAACTTATTTTCTCTTCGAGTGCTATCCAATTTAGTTGTTGCTGCTGTTGAAATTCTTCAAGTGATGTAGTTCGTACTATATGGTAGAGATCTCTGCCTGTGATTCTGTACCACAAATCTCCGAGGCCCGAAGAAGGATTGGAAAAAAGATTTCAAATTCAATTATCACTGACTCTAAACATTAGACACAAATAAACCTTGTTATAATAATAATACCATCAACTCAGACTGCAAGTATCAAATTGGTCCGTATTTTAACTTTTAATTGAGGTACGGATATAAGTGAAACAAAGTCAGTCCAGATTATTTTTTAAATCTAACCCCCAGGTTGCAAGTTCAGAAAGTGGGAAGTTCATAGCTGTGGACATTTAGGATTAGCCCCCTATTTCAACCTTGCTTCCACTCCCCAAGTATTAACAGCATAAAGTTGATTTACCCTTGTCACTGAAGAGTCCCATTCTATGATCACAGAAATAATGTATAAATGCAACGTGATGATGTTTTAATTATTCTCAATAACTCCTCCCAACCAACTGATGTATTACGTAAAACCAATATTGTCTCTTGGTGATTCCCGCCAAGATCTACATGTTTCAGCCAATCAAAGCCATTTTTAACCATTGATTTGAGAAAGCGATTGTTAGAAAATAAAAATTAAGTTAAAAATAATCAATGATGCATTGTGAAATGTTTGAGCGTAAGAAGTTAAGAAAATATTCTAGTGATCATAAATATGAATGCAGGTCATTATTTAAAGAAGTAAGAGGGTACAAATGTTTTGTGATGTCAACAAACACTCGTTGCCATTTTTGTGATGCCAACGAATACTCGTTGTCACTTTCGTAACGCTCGTTGTAGTAGAGACTTTGTAATCGCAAATACAACTATAGTAACGCCGTTGAACAATACTGGTGTCAGACGCCTTCGAATAACACTCGCACTAATAGTACTTGCTCGATAATACTCGCTCGAAAAGCAACCACCTAATAGTGATCCGAATAGAGAAATAATATAGAGAATAGCGGCCCGTATAATAATAGAGGATAGTTTAGAAATTGCGATCCAAAAAGTAATAGAGGGTAAAATAGAAGTAACGACCGTTAGTCGTCAGCTACTTCCTACATATATATGTGTTTCCTCTATGATCAGGTGGTCTACTTAATTCTATAAAGGGATCGTCTGTATTTGCTCACTGGCGATCTATGTTCAAACTCAAGTGTCGGCAGCGACACTTTATTCATATATAGCAAAAGGAAAAGATTTGAAAAGATAAAGATTTCCTATATGTCTTTTACTTCGCCATGCAATAGGATAATTTCCATTTTATAGTCGTGAAACTCGTCATGAGCTTATTCAATCATTAAATTAAGAATGATGATTCATCAGAAAATTTAAATAGTAAAACCGTAAACTTTTTACGGTTATTTTTAGTCATTATCATTTTTGATGATACTGACATTAATGAAAGAGAGATCCGGTATGTGAGATCCTCCCCCATACACAGAATTTGAAATTTCGCATCTTTCCCTGCCCGAAATGCTTTTAATAGGAAACTCTACTGAGGTTATCTTTCGGGGGTGACTTTTTAAATTTGTAAATATAATTCAATAATTCGAATATATTCTTTGAAGTTTTAATTTTGCCGAGATGTTAATTTTCTTGGAATTTCCTTAAATTAAATAAAATGAAGGTGATTTACGGGGCAGTAATTATTTCCACATACGTTTCTTAAAGATACTTTTAAAAGTTTTAAATTCATACATAAACTAATGAAGATTTTATTGAAATCATATTTTTGATAGATTTTTTTAAAATATGTGTATTTATCGCCTAAAACCGTTTTCTTGCAAATGATTAGGTCAAACTGTATTGTAGATTGGGAAAAAGATTTCAAATTCAATTATCACTGACTCTAAACATTAGACACAAATAAACCTTGTAATAATAATAATACCATCAACTCAGACTGCAAGTATCAAATTGGTCCGCATTTGAACTTTTAATTGAGGTACGGATATAAGTGAAACAAAGACAGTCCAGATTATTTTTTAAATCTAACTCCCAGGTTGCAAGTTCAGAAAGTGGGAAGTTCATAGCTGTGG